TTTTGGAATGGGAAGTCAAAGTTCTGACTTTAATCCTATAGAAATGTTGTGGAAGGAATTGAAGTGGGCATTTCATGTGAGGAAGTCCACCAACTTCCCTGAGTTGAAGTGTTCTGCAAGGAGGAATGGGCTTAAATTCCTCCAAGCTGATATGCAGGACTGATCAACAGTTATTGGAAATCTTTAGTTGAGGTTTTTGCTGCCCAAGGGGAGCACATGAGTTACTGGAAACAAAGGTTCACATACTTTTGCCTCATACAAATATGTAGCTTTGGATAATTTTCCTCAATAAATAAATGAACAAGTATAATGTTTTTGACTCATTTATTTAATTGGGCTCTTTTTATCTAGTTTTAGGACTTATGTGGAGAACAGGTCATGGTTTAGGTCTTATTTATGCAGAAGTGAAAATTCAAAAGGTTTCACAAACTTTTAAGTACCACTGTATTGCATTGTGTTTTTTTCCCCTATGGAAATGTTTCACTTTGCCGAGATCACACTTTCTTTCTAAAACAAAGTGGTCCAGAGCATGAACCCTACCTGGTCCTAGAGGCCAGCATGATGCTTTGTGAAAATTCTGATTGAGGAAAAGGTTTTGTCTATTCATTTGCTGAATTACTTCAGAGATAAGTAATCCTGTCTCCCAAGGTCATTCCTACATACTATTACAGCAACTTACCCCATACCTTCATGGATCTCAACTATTTCATCACAGCACAGAGATTTTGTAGGTTAACCTGTACAGTATTCTTCCTCTACTTCAGTGGTTTGCTTCTGTCAATACAGCCTGGCTATATGCTATTTCTAGGATCAGTGGCAGGATTTCTCTGAATACTATTGCTTCGGTACTATTTGTTGAGTTCCAAAGAGGCATCTGATTAAGTATTATAGGAGATAGAATGCTGGACCACATGGACTTTGGTCTGACTTGACAGGGCTAGTCTTATAGTCTTATGACTGTAATAACTATGACTTTGACAAATTTATACAATACATACACTTTACCCACTTTTGTTCATAAATCTGTTTTGGTCACATTTTTTCCCCAAAACTTTTATTAAAATATATAAAAAGTACAATTAAAATACAAATCAGAAAATATAGAAAAGAGAGAACTAAAAGAAAAAGACAAAAACTAAAAGAGATCAAATAGAAAGATGAAACAAAAAGCGACTTCCGACTATCTCCAATACAGATATAAGTACAAATTAAAAAAAATTGCTCTGGAAAGTAACCTCACTGTATTCAGTTCATCTATGACTTCTTTTCTCTAATTTCACGTATGCAGAATACAGGTAGTCCTCGACTCACAACAACAATAGGGACTGGAAAATTCATCATTAAGAGGTGTGGTCATTAAATGAGGCATTATGTGACTGCACCCGATTTTACGACATTTTTTGCAGTGGTCATTAAGCAAATCACTGTGATTGTTAAGTGAATCATGTGGTCATTAAGCAAATCATGCTGTCATTAAGTGAATCACACAGTTCCCCATTGATTTTGCTTGTTGGAAGCCAGCTGGGAAGGTCACAAATGGTGATCACATGACCCTGGGATGCTGCAACCATCGTAAATACACGCTGGCTTCCAAGCACCAAAATTTTGATCATATGACTGTGGGGACGCTGCAATGGTCGTTACTGCAAGGACCAGTCTTAAGTCACTTTTTTCAGTGCTGTCATAACTTTGAACGGTCGCTAAACAAATGGTCATAAGTCAACTACCTAGGTCTACAAAAATCCCTTGTCCAAGACAAAGCAAACCCTGAATGATAGGTTACTCCTGGACAGAGTTTTAAATGGTAGTTGTCTTGGCTAAACTGAAGGATAAATAATACAATACATAGCATTTATATAATGTTTTTATTTATATAAATGTTGTATTTAATGGTTCATATCTTAGGTTCATGTTTTAGAAGAGGCCATACCACATGGTGAGCTTCTCATGAATAACTACACTTATACCTGAACTATAACACAGTTTTCTTTCTTTTTTATATATAATTTTTATTAAAAGATTTTCACATAAGTAAAAGGTAAACATGAAATTATATAGAGTGAAATTAAGAAAAAAAGGATAAAAAAATAAGTAGAAAAGACAGTTCAGATAGAAAAAAGAAAAGATTTCCCATCTTCTTTACAGTAGATACAAACAAATTCATTATCTCTCCTCCCTCTTTTAAGTTACAACATGGTTCTTTTCTTCCCATATTCAACTCTTTCAAATCAGCAAATCCGTAAATCACCAATTCATTTTTTTCCATTTTCAGCAAAAAAACCCATGAGAGGTTTCCAGTCTTTTATAAAAGTACTTGTGGTCTTATCCCTGATCAAACAGGTAAGTTTTGCCATTTCTGCAAGTTCTACCAACTTCACAATCCACTCCTCCACTGTGGGTATTTCAGTATTTTTCTATCTTTGTGCATATAATAGTCTTGCTGCAGTTACCATATACAACATCAATCTTCCA